AAAAGGAAAAAAAAACATGTCACAGCTAAAAAACTTATGAAATATTTAACAAAATCATAGGAACTAAATTGAAAGTTATAAAATCATAAATCATAATTCAACCTTTTTTATTTCTTAGTCTTCTTCCTTTCTTATACTCGTCCTAGATTTTAGAAATGTTTTTCAAATTGTGTTTAAATTTTAAAAGCAAAAATTTAATGTTAAAAAATAATTTTTTTTGTTATTCAAATTTTCTTTTCTCCACGTTAATTTTCTTTTTAATGTATTTTTTAAGATATTTGGTTACTTAGCTGTGAGAACCAATATTGTCTTCATCATCACCATTGATTACAATTTCAAAGAGAAATGCAAAAACATAATTTTTTTTAAAATAATAATAAATTGTCAATTTTTCAATGATAGTGAAGATAAGATTTGGTACTCACGAACAAAGAAGTAACTATTTTCTTCTCTATATATTTCTCTTCAACTTACCTTCTTTTCTTTTTTTTTTCTTTTAACTTTTATCCATTTTTTTCTCAATAACATTTCTTTTTCTCCCTCTCATAAATCTTTTTTACTCTACCATATCTCTCACGATATTACTCTCTATCTCTCTAACTATTCTCGACCTAAGAAATTTTCCTCCTCTCTTAATATTCTCTCTCTAAACTTTTCCTTATCAAGTATCTCCACAGTACTATGATATTATCTGCTTTGAGCATAATCCTCACAGTTTTACTTTTGGTAGTGGTGGATCCATAAATTTTGTTGAGGGGGGCTTCATACCAATTTCTTCATAAAAGTGTGATTTCTAGGCTGGTGTAATGGTAAGCGCTTTGGACCTTGGTACCACCTACTTGAGATCTCAACTTAGAGCCTTGTGCTTGTCATTCCTCAGCCAAGAAAACGAGCCTCCGTTATAGGGATCCACTAGCCTAAATCACACGACATTCAACTATTTTTACTTTGGAGATAATGACCTCATCGATTTTCAAAATCTCTCCATTTATATTCCAAATCAATTCTAGAAGAACACCAATAAAAATAAAATAGGAATGATATAGTTATATGCATAAAAACAATTGAAACATGAAAATTTTATATTATAGTTACTAGCTATATTTTAAATAATCTCAAATAATGATCAAATTCATAGTATATATGATATAAAGTTAATGAAAATATATCCTTGACAATTAATCTCAAAATTATCAACTTGTTTAGAGACAGAAAAAAAATTAAAATTAAAAATTATATAATCTCCACAATGGTATGATATTGTTTGCTTTGGGCATAAGCTTCACATTTTTATTTTTTGTTTCACCTAAAATATCTCATACCAATGAAGGTAATTGTCATCTCTTATATACTATGGATCACTACCTTCCCTAACCAATGTGGAACTTTGTTTGCATACCTTGCAACCCCAACAATATGTATAGCTTTTGCTTCTTATACGCAGAAAACAAAAAGTAGAAAAATCAAAAACCATAATGGTTATTAGTTTAGCACTTTATTCCCATTCTTCTCTTTATAGTGTTGGAAAAAGGAAGGAAAAAACTAGATCAGTGCGAAAATGTCGTTGTATCGTGGACAGGACTACTACTTTGAAAAGCAAAATCGGTACGACCTTGGTGCTAAATCATTGTATTGTCAAAATACTTCCCAAAGTTAACCCAAACTCCAACTCAGACGTGTACTCATCAAAACAGAGTGAAATCAAACTAGCTTAGAAAATTCTTAGAAAACACCAATTGAGTAGAGAGGGAGAGAAGTGAATGGGATGACGAGAGAGTGGTGGAGGAGTACCAATTTATAAAGGTTGAAAGGTCCAAAGTAGACTTTTATTTTCTAAAAAATAAAAACCTCCAAAAATCAAGGCATTCCACGTGTCTCTTTGAATGCCAAACTCCCTCCAACCTTGCCACTTATCCTTTATTCTCATTAAACAACGTACTTCCTACCATAACCTAAGCTTAATTCCCTCTAAGTGAACCATGTGTGCTTTGATGGGATCAAAACGTTGTAAGGAATGAAGTACAAAAAATAAGCTCCTGCCCGAGCCCGAGTCAGATAGACGGCAGCAACAGTCCACGTGTGGGCCATGGTTTAGGCTTACCCCAAACCATGTTTACAAACTTACTACAAGGATTTGACATATATAAAGCTTGTTTCCCGAGGGATAAACTTCTCATGTGGGATAATTTGTAGCTAGTTTGTTTTACAATGTCATTCCAACAATGTCCCACGAATGACAAATAGTAAAATTAGAAAAGAGAGAAAAAATATTTTTTGAGAAAAAGGAAAATAAACTTAAATGAGTTACCTCTTGAACTTCCAGTAATTATGGTTAAGACCCCCACAACACGTTTAGATCCTTGATTTTGATTCAGCGATATTCGTCAAGTGCTATTAATGGTCATGCACTTACGAACCTTGAGTCATCGTGAAAGCTCTAGAAAGAGATTCTTCAACTCTTTCATAGAAGGTGGTCTCACCTCCACAATCACGTTATTGCTTCATCAAGTTTATCATAGATAAACAACTCACACCACAGCTATAAAAACTTTGAATATTATCCCTCAAGTCCAAACAGGACTACCCAAAGAAGGGCTATGGATTCACATAATGTTTCACTATGTCCATCAAGTCCATACACGGACCACCCAAAAGAGGGTTATGGATTCGCATAATGTGAGAAACATCAAGATTTAAGTCTCATACATCCTGAGGACTCCATAATTACTTTCCTCGTCCGGCCTTTGGTGAGATAATCTACCAAGTTCATCTCTGACCTCATGTACTCCAAGGAGATAATTTCATTTCTCAKCAACTGTTTCACAGCTCTATGTCTCAGGCGTATATGACGTCTCTTGCAGTTAGACACACTATTTTTGACAATCCATATGGCAGCCTGTGAGTCGCAATGTAGGAATACAAGTACAAATTCCCCCATAGTGGCATGTCTCGAAGAAGACTTCTTGGTCATTCAGCCTCTTGCCCTACTAATTCAAGTGCTATGAACTCAGATTCTATGGTAGAACAAACAATGCAGGTTTGTTTTGTTGATTTCCATAACTTATCTACCAAAATTAAACACACATCCGCTGGTGGAGCTTTGAATATTGGTGAGAGATAAATCTATATACATAATTCATTAGTAAATATCATTCATTGTATTTACATATTCAAAAGCTAAGTTCGATTATTGAAGAAATTTTTATAGACAATATTAATCTTGGTCTTTTTAACAATAGTGTAAATAGGGGCAGAGGAAAAAGATATGCTGGCATAAATATTACTAGATATATTAAATAGTTTGTTTTCTTTTTATACAAGATATATTAAATAGTTAATCTTTATTAAAATTATGTTTATTTTTAATGACAGGATAATAATAGCTTTAAATCTATTAACATCATTCTTATTCATACATATATGATTTGAATATGAAAATATTAAAAAATAGAATATAAAAAGTTCTGTTAATTTATTTCTAAAAATTTTATGACTTAACCTTTAATTATAGAATTTCAAAGTTTTTGGAATTTCAAAAGTTATACTATTTTTTTTCAACTACTAGACTATATCAAGATTGTCTCTCTTCTACATTTTTCCTACAAAACTTTTGTGTCTTCTTCGTCCCTCAATTTTCCTTTTTATTAAGTTTAAAACACATATTTACCAACCTCTTAGGTAGATGTTTTAGAGTTACACTTTATGATTGAAAAATATATTTTATAATTAAAATTGCTTTTGTTTTAAAAGTTTATGTATGACTAGAATTTCTTTAATTTTTAACTTCAACGATTAGAATTTCTTTAACTTAATACTTACAAAAATTTTAATTATTATTTAGTATAAATTGATAAATTCATTATCAATTTTAATGTAATGTATGATCAAATAAATTGGAAATATCAAGTGCATTGCAGGTGTTAAAAGACTACTACCTAATATACCTAATATTAATGGTATCAATTATATCAATGTGGCTGATATAATTCATATTAATTATATTAGTAGTATAATTCATATAAGTTATATAGGTTATATAAGTGATATACATAAAATAAATTATATCTTATATAAATGATATATCAATAAGATAAGTGCATTACTTAAAACAAAATCTTTAACCCAAATAAGATTTATCTATGATATACCTCAGGTATATCATTTACATATTTAATGGGATTGATATTTCATATTTAGTAGTTATATATGAGTGATATTCTTAGTATGAAATATATCAATACTTAGGGTAAAATTGGAATAACAAATAAAACCAAAAATTTGATTTTAAAAATTTTGTCATATTTGACAAACTAAATTGTTATTATATTTGCAAATAGGACAAATGTTTTTGCCTTTTTTTTTCTACCCATTAAAAATACCTATTAAGAATAACATATTTAATTACTTTCATGTTCAATACATGTCAATCGAAGTCACAAATTCCAAATTAAACAAATCACAAACATTTGTATGGCTTAAATTTTGGGATGTAAATTAATGTTGGAGATTTCTTTAATTGGAAAAAAGAGTTAATTAAAGATCTAATTTTGTCCGTGGGTAATGAGCGATGGCGCAGTCGTAAGAGTCTTAGTCTATGGTATCACCCTTCCTGGGATCTTGGGTTCAAGTCATGTACTTGGTCATCGTATTGTTCAGCCCAGGCAACGAGTCCTGGTTATAGAGATCTACAGCTTAAGTCATACGACATCGATTTAAAGAAAGAAACCCAAAAAAAAATAATTAAAGATGCAATCTTTGTGTCCCACAATTTTCATTTATCCTCCCAGTAGACGTTTCTCTTGTGAATAAAAGCTTCCGTATAACTTTGGTGTTTATTGCAAAAGCTTCATATAATTTAACCAACTTCTTACCTCCTCTCTCTTTCTCTTCCATAATTTAAGGTATTTTTGCCATTTGTCCTCCCCCACTCAAAATCTCTATATAACCACTAACAACTTCTCTAAATCTCTTCATTAAAGCCTTTTTCATTACTCCCATGATTCTTCCTCCGACACAGAGGTTGTCTTCAAAACATTTAGTTTAAGGTTTCTTTTTTCTCTCTTGTTTGTGTAAGAAAAAAAAAAGAAGAATGGGTCTGCGAGACATTGGAGCAACTCTTCCTCCTGGGTTTAGGTTCTATCCGAGTGATGAGGAGCTGGTGTGCCATTATTTGTACAAAAAGATTGCAAACGAAGAGGCCTCGAGGGGAACTTTGGTCGAGATCGATTTGCATACTTGCGAGCCTTGGCAGCTTCCCGGTACGTCGCCCGACCCGTCTCTCTCCTATCTGTCAATTTATGCATACATCGACTATTGTTCTTATTAGGTGAAATTATTAATATGGTTTTATAGTATTTGATGTTGAAAAACTATATGATATCATAACTATTCGAGGCAATAGATGATTTGTCTAAACGGTACAATATCTATATTGGAGAGCGGAAAGATAGTAAATGGACATCACAATATATAGCTATGGCCTCCTTAACACCGGGGGTGGCGATGTAGTGGACTTATGGACGAATGGAGATATATCCTGTCTTATTTCAAGTCCCACGACGTCGGTTATAGTAGTGGGTGGCCATCAAGACTCTCCAATTATAAAGAACCTCTGCACGACATTAATTCTAAATTATCAAAAGAAAAATGAAATAGGGCCTTTTTGTTTGTGTTTTAATGGTACATAATCCACTTCTCTATTCTAAAGATGAGAAAGCTTTATTTGTTGTTAAATTGGAATATGGGTTGCTCTGTCTTTATATGACATGGAATTATGGATGGCTATCAAGGTTACTAAAGCTTGGAATGACAAAATTAGCTGTGGGGTTAACTGGTTAAGCCTACCTGCAACTTGATCCTTCTAAAGAGGAGGAGAATCTCAGTTTAAAAATGGGATCAAGGTCCGAGACAATGAAAAATCTTTCTTAAATTGCCCTTTTAAGATCGTGACTCTTTTGACTCATTGATTCGGATCCCATTTTTTTATCGGATATTCGTTTGAACGTTTTGAGCTCTAATATACTATATCAATATTTGTGGAATTACATCTTAAAACGAATTGACGATAATAGAAGTATCTCATGTCTATTATATATACTTTTATTAGGTCACTTGTCTTTTCGATGTGAAATCCTTAACGTGAAAATCTCTAAGGGCTCACCCTAAACGAGACAAGGAATCTTGATTTAGGGTTAGGGTTTGAGGCGAAGAACCGTTTTTCCTTTTTCTTTCTTTTTTTTTTCTCTGATTTTGGACTAGTAAATATTACTAGAAGAAATTTTTTCCTAACTGAAATCCTAATTCCCTGTACCAAATTGGAGGATGGGATAGGATAGGAAATTAAAAATCTCCATTAACTTTAACAAATTTTACAAAAAAAACATTATTTTAATCTCTTTCTGTAGATTATTAATCAAAAACTTGAAATGGAAACATCTATTTATTTATTAGACCAATAATCGTCATCACTATTTGAAGCTAGAGTGTCAAATTTCAAAATAATGTTGGATTTTTTATTAAATGGTTAGTAAAAAAAATTATGAAAAATACTAAAAATAGTATTATTATGATGATCTAAACTTAACTATAGGTTAATCATTAAGAAATAAATTAGATCTATAAAATTGGGAAAAAGATTATATAAATTTATCATAATGTGGAAAAATATTATAAGAAATTTTTGTCGTGTAGGAAGGAAATGAAATAATTAGTATTTGTCGAAATGGGCAGGCCAATCCTATTCCCATAATTTCTCCAAATACCATTTTTTTCAACATTGAAATTATTTTTGGAAGGATTATTGTCCCTTACGTTTTTGTTTTCTATATTGATTGACACATATATATTCATTAACCCTTTGTTTGATCATATAAAACTATATGAATAATTTATTGCATATAAAAATATATCATTTGATTCCATTATTGAAGTCTTTTTTGGATTGGGTACTTCTAATCATTTTCACTTATGTGGATGTGGAAATGCTTTGGATAATCTTCTAATGGATACGTTCTCGTTTCTAGTTTCATGTATCTTGTTTTTTGCCTTTTCTTTTTAATAAAGAAAAATATTAATACATTTGATAACGATTTATTATTTTTTTTTGTTTTTTGTTTTTATTTAAAAAAGTATCTTGTTCTTCTTCTTTAAAATTTTAAATTAAAAAAAATATGAGAGTTTTATATGGAAATTAAGTTTTTAAATTAAATATTTATGGTTTTTATGTTATATTTTTTTTAATATTTATTCTACATTTTATAAGTCAAGAATGATAAAATAATTTTTTTTATTTATGTTTTGGAAAAAAAAATTTCAAGTCAAACAAGAAATTTGATTTCGTTGATTTCGAAAATTTCTACTCAATTTTTAAATTCTTTTCTAAAAATTGAGAAACAATAAATTGAAACAGTTATCAAATGCTTTAAAAAACTGGAAGACAAACGAGAAACAAGAAAATTGTTTCCATTATTAGTAAAATATGATTTTTTTTAATATACTTAATGAGATATTTTGTTTTTGGACATGCACTAGCATTAATGTAGTAAAAGAATTGAGCTTTATTTATTTTATGTAAAGTTATTAAGGTTGATTGATTAATTAGTAAAAATCTTAGTTCAATTTTTTACGTGAAATTAGTCTCCAAAATAGTTAATATTAGTGTTTATGTGATAATATTGTTATCTCACATTACTTAGATGAAATGTCTTATTCGCACTAATATATATGACCATGTTAAGTTACTTGGATACCGAAACTTAAGCTTTGAGGTATATGGTGGTTGAAAATAGGTATTAGAGTCATAATGTCGTATGTTCAAAATCCTACAACGTCATATTCGAATATTAATGGCTCACATATTCAAGTTTGTAAATATAGGTAAAAAATTAAATATATACTATTAACTTTTTGATTCTACGTATAGCGGTGGTATAGCTGTGAGAATCTTACCATCTCAGTTAATAATTTAACAAAGTTAATAATTTTGTTTTTAATGCAACAAATGTGGGAATGAGGAATTGAACCTCCCACCTCGGGAAGGACTATGCAAGATATACTTTAACCGTTGAGTTATACTCGTGGCATAAAGTTAATAGTTAAAACTAAGTTTATGTTCATACTCTTTTAGTATTACAATCCATGGATACAAATTTAAACTATGACGACTTTAATTAGTTGAATTATATTCAAACCGGCTAAAAAAGAAAAATTTATGTGTATCTCACTCCCAAATGTGATATTTTATAGTATAACTTATAGAGTAATCTCTCTCCCATATGTATTTTATGTTAACAAAAAAGGGTAGATATTTTATGTTCAAATCTCATATAGCCACAAATGAAAAACAAAATTCTAAGATTTTTTTTGGGTGTTCTATCTCCCATAAAAAATAGTTAAGATTAGTTAAGATGCGTGTAAACTGGTCTTGAATGTTCTATTGAATGTAAGAGGCAAGAGTGGTGTTTTTTTAGCATTTAGGGACCGAAAACGGTCACCTACACAAATAAATCTATTTTGTACATGCCTCACTTTAAAAATTTACTTTTTATATATTCTCGAGTATAGTATATCAATATACCTTTCATCGTAATCACTTTAAGTTCTCTCTCATCATGGAGAGTAGAGGTGGCGAAGCTGAATGGGAACGAGTGGTACTTCTTCAGCTTCAGGGATCGGAAATACTCAACGGGGTTTCGGACGAACCGGGCGACGACAGCGGGATATTGGAAGGCGACGGGAAAAGATCGAATGGTTATGGATCCAATGAGAGGTGAGGTGGTGGGAATGAGGAAGACATTGGTGTTTTATAGAAACAGAGCTCCAAATGGGATCAAAACAGGGTGGATCATGCATGAGTTTCGGATTGAGACTCCTCATATGCCCCCAAAGGTTCAATTTCTCTCTATTTTCCCTTTCACTACTTTTATTTCCTACTTATATTTCTAGTCATCAATATCATGCTTAAATTGCATCCCATTACACACATATTAAATAGAAAGAGAAAAATAGATTAGAGAATGATGGAAGTTTTCTTTTTAAGACGAGATATTAGCAAGGGCGGAGCGGAAAAGGAAGGAGATGGGAAATTGCTGATAAGTTTTTCGTAAATTTAAGAAAAAATGAAAATTACTCGGTTCCTCAACAAATAGGAGAAATCTTGTTCTCAAATAATGAGTTGTCAAACATTTAATGGTGGGGAGAACAAGATTCCTCCTCAATGTGTCTTAACCATTTGAGCTATTCTCGATTTGGTAAATTTTTCCTTTGATTTGTCCCTCTAAATTTTTTGAACTCAAATATAATATTATATGCAAGAAGTTAAAATATAAGATTTGGTCATTTATTATGAAAAAGAAGAAGGTTACTTCCTTGTTAATCTTTTACTATAACCAAACCATTAGGTCGTTTTTTACGTGTTTATTTAAAAAAGAAAGAGAAAAATCAAATTCTTCTTTCCTTGTGTTCCTCTCCTGTTCGTCAAAAATCTATAGAAGTAATAGGAATCGTCCTTCCTAATATAACATAATATTCTCTTTGTCTAGCTAATGTGAGACTTTAATCATACTCTCAATAATCCTCTTTTCGAACAAAGTACCAACAGAATCTTCTCTCAAATAGTTATCGTCTACTTTCAATCTCGTCTCCTAATCTCAAATTGGTTCTTATTATTTTCTCTTTTTAAATCCAACATGTGAGAGTAGGGATTTGAATTTCAAACCTTTTAGTCGATGACATATGCAACCCATTAAACTATGTTTAATTAGTATTTCATGTCTTGACATTTCATGTCCTTGACCTCTTTAAATCTTAAAGTCTTTGAATTTCTACCACACATGTTGGATAGAAATAGAATAATATTATCAACACACATGAGTTTAGTTCAATGGCAATTGACACAGCAAAAATAAATCCGAGAATTCCGCACTAAAAAATAGAATAATTTCAAGTTTTGTTAAATAAAAATTAACTATAATAGACTAAAATAATTATTTATGTAAAGGGAAATAGGATGGGAAAAGGAGAGTAGGTTGCATGGATTATTCAATGTACAGTGCCATGATAAACATTCTTTATCATCAATATCTTCATTAACTTCTTCAATATACCAACCTTTTTGTCCCACAGGAGGACTGGGTTTTGTGTAGAGTATTTCACAAGAGCAAGCCAGATCAGGAAATCACAGAAACAACTCACAGCCTGCAGTTTCCGTTCGATGCAGCGGCGGCCACTTCATCGTCCTTCCGTTCACCGCCAAACCACCTTGGCCAGTTTCTGCCCCCGGACGACGCGACCGGGCTGCTGCCGTGGGACACCAACATGGAAGAAACTGCAGCATTCAGACCCAATGGAGTATTTGGGGACTCTAATATGCAGGAAATGAAGTTTGAGATTAATGACACCATGCAAAATGGCTTCCCTTTTAACTATTTTATTGCTTGAGGAGATATTGTGTATAGATCATTCACCAAAAGAAAACAAAAAAAAAAAAAAAAATAATAGTTTGATTGATTGTTTTCTTGTTGAATTTAAGTGCATGCATAACTGAGAGTTTGGTAAGTGCCTTACTTTGTGGATTTTTTTTTTCCTTTTTTTGGGTTTGATTATTAAGTAAATGCACTTGAAAAAATGGGAGAATTTTGTGTAGAGTCCTCTGAACATGTTGATAGAGGGCTAATACTATGTGTCTTTGTATATAGAATACATGTGTAACATTTGTCTATATGGCTTAGCTTAAGTTAAAAGTATATCCCATCTCGACACTACTCTTCAAGTTTATCTCGTTCATTCGCAACAAGATATTTTCTTTGTATGGATACGGTAAAGATGAACTTGACCACGTACTTTGATGATAAATACCATTAACAAAAATATTAAAACTTGACAATTTATATTGTCACCTTTAGTATAAACCTACCTTAGCATTTTAGAATGGTTTATATAAATATTTTCTTAAAAATAATTTATTTTAATGTGAAAATTAAACTTTTTATTGATGTTTTTTACGAGCACACCTAAACAAATAAAAGCACGCATAACATGAAATCGATGATAACAAAAACCAAAATCAATTGGAGGATAGTGAAGGACGAAAAACCAAACGGAAGAGTTATGCATGCGAAGGAACTCGAGATCAGGAATGAAAAATTCATATGAAATCGATGATAACAAAAAATCCCAAAAACGAGAATTAATCGAACGATACGCATTGTGAAGAGCGAAGAAAGACGAAAAATCGAACAAAAAAGTTGAAGCCATTGGGCGGAGAAGATGAAGAAAAATGGAAGGAAATTGGTTTGGGGCATAAGTAATGGAGATGCAAAGAGTATAATTTGGCAAGCAGTCCATGTTCTGTTTTTCTCTTCGTAATATGTGTTCGAAAGATTCGTTTTTAAAAACGGTCTTTGGATTGTGCATCCAAATAGTGAAAATTTCTAAAAATTTTATTGTTTCGAGTGTTTTTAGATTTATAATTTGAAATTTCAAAACGTAGAATTACACTAAAAAAAACCAGGTAAAAACTTTGATAAATATATTTCAAGATTACTACAATATCTTTTGACTTTAAAAATTTCATATCAAATAATAAGTTAAAAGATATTTCCATATACGTGAAATTGAATCTTGCGGTGATCGTTTTTCTTCAATTTCAACATTCTCATCAAATGGTTTTTATTTTTCGAATCGTTATTTTTCGTGAAATATTGGTTATATTTTCATATCATTTGCAATTTTCTTAGCAATCTTTTTTCTCTATACTTCCTTGGCTCTAGTTTGTTTTTCATAATTAGATGCTTCATTTATTCAACAACCATAACATCATCTACTATTTTTATTTCATCTCTTGATTTGTCTATATTTATTATTTCTTTTATAATTTCATCATTTTTATTACTTTTACTTCCAATAACAAATTTATTGAGTGTGCCTTTTTAAGACTAAGTTTTTCTACTATTATTTTCTTTTATATTTTCATATCTAGATTCATACTTTCACATATTGATATTCTAAATAAGTAAATCTCTTATATTAGGTTTTGAGCAATCAACATGCAGTATGAAATAATTTATAAAAAAAAAGTAAAAAATTATGAATGAAAAACATGGAATTTTAAAGCCGCTAGGTTGAGTTGAGGAAATAAGAAGTTTCGATTTTTACTCTAGCAATCGATAATATTGTGAGACCACACAGAAAATCAAGATGAAAATATGAAAATTTGAGATCTGAGAGAGAGTGAGTATTGACAGAAAGAGACCGAGAGTTCAATCTAAAATTAATGTAACCTAAGTAATATATTTATGAAGTTTTTTATAGAACTTGAAAAGTTTTGGTTAGTGAAAAAAATAAATAAAAAGATAAAAAGATATGGTCTCCCGCTTTGAGGAGCTTATTTTAAGGTTAAGATTTTTAAGGAAATTTGAAATGAATATGAATAAAAAGATTAGGGTTAACAAATTTTGAAAGGTAAGCAAATCAAAATTGAAAGAAATTTATGAACCTATTAATAGTGGATGTTGTTAGTAGTTTGTATTTTCAATATTATAAAAAAAATTATGAAAAATAATTAGTAAATTATTTTATATTTTAAATTTATTTACAATTAAAAATTAAATTAAAAAAATACTAATATTATATATTATAGGTCTCCCTAAAACGGGGGCTTTAGGCGGTCGCCTCGCTCGCCTATAGCTTAAGCCGGTTTGGTCCTATTTTAAACTTCTTAATCTTGATTTACTCCCTTTAAAAATTATTTATAGCATAGCAAGAGCGTAAAATAACTAGAGCGAGAGAATAAACAGAGCCGAAGCAACATGAAAATGCATAGAGAAAGAGCGTGAAACAGAATGAGAGAGAGAGTCAGAAACGGAGAGAAGAGAAAAAAGTAATAGAAAAAGTGAAAAGGAAAAGTTAGTTAGAAGGTAAAACAAAAAAAATATATAGAAAAAAGTTTTTTTTCAAAGGGAATATAGAAAAAAGTTTTAAAGATGAGTGAGAGAATAATAGAGAGAAGAACTAAACAAAAAAATAAAAATAAAAACATTTGTTTTACGAAAATATACTGATTTCATTTTGACTCTTCCACATTTTTTTCAGATTCAATTTGAAACTTTATAATATAGGATTTCTCTAGAAAAATAAAAGTTTGGATAAATATATTATATTATGATAAATTTATTTTTATTTTTATTAAAATTAAAAACTAAAAAATATAATATATTATAAAATATATAATATTGTAAAATAATAATTGTACAAAGATTTTGATAAATCAACTAAATATATAGTCGATAATTTATCAAAAGAAAAGAGTCGAATAATAGTTACCAATAACAATTTTTTATATTAAGATGCAATTTACCAATCTACCACTAAACATATATTTTGAAAACAATCCCTATCACGTCGAACTGCAAGATTCTCCAAAAATGGCGACGGACCTCCAGAAGGGGAAATTGGCTCAAATGACCTCCAAAAATTTTTGAAATGCTCAAATGACCCACCCCCTTTAATTATGCCCAAATGACCCACTTTTAACATTGATGATGTGTTAGAAGCAGGTGAAATGACCAAAATGCCGTTAAATGTAACAGGTGACCGCTGGAATAATTCCCGGCCGAGGTAGAAAAATTCCCGCCCGAGGTAGCTTCAATGCACGGCAAAACCAATTTAATGCACACCGACTTGTACCTTAGTAATCAGTACATGTCATTACTAATCCCAGAGAACATATGTCCTTATCGTAAATATTCTCTCTGCACAATCCTAAAAAATCTGAAAAGTATTGTGAATATTCTCTTTAGAAGTTTCAAGATTTTGGGAGAAGTAGTTCTTTATTTTTTATGCTTTCTCCTTTTGCGCGTTAATCTTGCTTGATTCTACATTTGAACACATGTGTTTTTATTTGATCCTCGTTTGGTTTATTTTTGTTACAGTCGGAGTAACAATAACTATTGTTATTTTGTTTTAAACTCATATGTTCATTCCTCCTGCACTATGCATTCTAATTGTCGGGTTATTCTCGAGCGAGGTGATATGATTATCGGCCGAGATTCATGTTTTTGATGAACCTCGGGCAAGGTACTAAACTTTCTCGACCGGGGTCAGAGGTTTTCAAAACGGAATGTTTGTTAAACTTACCTCGGGCTTGGCTGCATATTGAACTCCACCTCGAGCGAGAAAATATGTTTCTCGCCCGAGGTTGATGTGTATATATATATATATATATATATATATATATATATATATATGTATGTATATATATTCCATCTGTAATTGTCTTTCAATTGTGCTTTGTAATGCAGAACAAAATGGTACCCAATCGAAACCCTCATACTTGGTTACGCTGAACCCGTGTACCCCCGTTGAAGACGAAGAATATTGGATTTTACCGGATGACTACGTGCCGAGGACGATTAAGCCACCAAAATTTGTGGACTCTTACTGGAAACCGCCGCTGCATATTTTTCTTGATTCCATAATTCTCGGCCAAGTTATGGTCGACCCCGACCGTAAAATTCAATGAGCTACAAAAATAGAGATTAAAGTTCTGTACATTTAATATGGGGGTTGTTCTTTATTTCAGTTCTGCCAATATTCTCGGGCTCGAACTCGATCGAGGTAGATACCGAGGTTGGTATTTTTTTCAGTTGTGCAAAAAACCTCGAGCGTGAACCAGCTTACCTCGACCGTAAAATACAATGTTCTTCATAAATAAAGATTAGAATGATCCTAATATTGAAAACGCAGTCCTAAACTCCATTAATAATTGATGTTTTGTCTCAATGTATCTAAACAAGTCCCTGTTAAATCATAGTCAATATACTTAAATTCATTTGCATTATCAAATTTAACTAAGTTACGTACAAAATAAGAAAACAATTCTAATAGAATATCAAAAAATAGGTCTATTCGCCCAAAGTTGAAAAGCAAATTGCCTCCTAAAGTATGCGACCCTAGACTGTGTTAGAGTATCCAATGCGGACCCGGTTACATCGTACTCAAAATACTTGACGCAGAAAATCCCACAGTCGCCACCGCCAATCTGCT